CATAAACAGTAAAAGCGGAACGAAGCTTTGCTGCTCCCACGTCCTTCTGCTGCCCTCTCCCTCTGTACCGTGTCTGCCAGAGACTGGGGCAGCTTTGGGGCGATTGCCTGTGGGCTCCCCAAATATTCTGGCATTAAAGGCTCAGTTCAATGCAGGTCCCCCTGCACTGTGGGTCCTGGGGGCGATGGGCTTTGCCTTCCCAGCGCTGCGAGGTGGGAACAGCATGTGCAAAGCTTCCAGGACTGGCTCTACAAATGTGTAAAGCAGCTGACGCCAGTTGGCAACGAGTTTGCAGGGGAAGATTAGGAGAGGAAAATCCTTTGAAGAGAAACCCTTTTGCTTTATTAGGAAAAAATGCTCCTTGCCCCGTGTCGGCCGGGTCAGGGGAATCCGAAGCCTGTGTGTGTGATCCAGGCAGGGGGAACCTCCGCTTTGCTTCCCTGCTGATAACTTGGGAGGATGACAGCTTTTCTCTCTTTGCTGTAGGTTTATTCTTGCTGCAACTTAAGAAGGGTTTATTTTAACCCCTGTGGTGCAGGCAGGCCCTGAGGGGAGCTCCTGGGGGTGGTGTGGGGTCTGGGTAAGCTCCTGCAGGTCCTGACAGAGAGATGGTTGCTGCACAGGTGAGGCACATGGTGTGTGCTCCTCTGCTGGGGGACTGTGGAGAAGCAGGTGTGATCAAAATACACACGGAAATAAAACCACCCTGCCTGCAAGAGCAGCTGGAGCACCCGGGGTGAGCGTGTGGTGAAGAGGGGCAGCCTTGGAAAATGAACAGCTCAGCATGCCAGTATGGGCCTGATCCTTACTTTCCTTGGAAATTGCCCGTGGAAGGTGAGTTTCTCCTGTGCAAGCTCTTGGACAGGGATGTCTGGCCAGTCTGAGGGAGTGCAGCGTGTTCTTGTCTCACCGAGGGGCAGAAGCGTTTGGGGCTGTGGTGGCACCCAGGGCAAGGAGCGGCAGGACAGTGTCCTCAGGGACCTCCTGCCGTGCCAGTGGAGGAGGGACATTCCTTTTCCTTCCTTTTCCAACCTGCTGTGACTCATGGAACATCATCCCAGGAGGAGGTGGCGAGACTGAATCAGTGGTGCCTGAGGACACGCACGGGAGAGGGAACGTGAGCGTGGGCGGCTCCAGCCCCTTGTTTGCTCCAGTGCTTTCCTTCCTTCCTTCCTTCCTCGTGCCCACCCACCTTTGCTGGGCTTGCTGGGAGGTGATGGGGGGAGAATTCAGCTCCACGTGCTCCTGAGCAAATAGGACAGAGCCCCCAGCCCTCCATTGGAGCTGAAGTTCATTTTCAATGCCCTTGGGAGCAGGCTGAGCCTGGGTTTGAGTTTGGGTTTGCTGCTGGGGTGCCATCTCCCTGCAGACATCCCAATGAGCCATTTGCTTTTCAGGAGCTGCTTCCAGGGTTTGTCTTTCAGAGTTGGTGAAAAGCTCAGAGCTCCTGCAGGAGCCCTTGAGGAACCTTTGCTGCTGTCGGGGTGCTGAGCACGTAGGGGCTGGGCTGTGCCATCCCCTGATGGGACCAGTTTTGGAGCTTGAGGGTTTTAATGAAGCTAATGAGTGTGTTTAGCTTTGCACAGAACTAATTTCTCTCACAGTGTGGAATGGCTCCTGGGGGAGCTGGGCTGAGCCAAGGCACAGGATGGCAGCAAACGCCGTCTGCCTAAATCTCGGAGGTGTCAAACTGCTGCAAGGGGAGCTGGAATGTGGCTGAAAGCTGAATTTCCTCCCTCACTGCCAGGAGGGTGGAGTGTCCCTTTCCCCGCTCTCCCTCCTTTCCTGCAGGGAGGTGCCCTAATGGGAAGCAGAAACGGGATGGGGCAGAGCTCTGGGTTGCCACAGCTTTCCTGGTTGTCCCCTGTCCCATGCTGTGTTGAAGGGATACAGGGATGCTCTCTGATGATGAGCTGATGGTTGGAAATGTGCACTGGCTGCAAATGTGACACCTAAAGCACATAACAGCTTTAATGGGAAAGGGAAAGGGATGCAACTCCTCTGAGTGTGAATCCTGCCTGGGTTTGTTCTGAGGTGGTGGTGGAGCCTCCTCTGCAGCACTGCCCTTGTTCTCTGTCCTGGGGACACTTGTGTAACTCAGGGATCTGGTTACTGCCCAGCTCAACTGCTGGAGCCTCTGCTCCAGCCAGAGCAAGCAGGTAGAGCAGCGTTTTCCATCTGAAATAATGAAGGGTTTGATCCCCACGGAGCCCTCCCTTGGAAGGGGAACAGAAGACAAGAGATGGAAAAGCTGAACTGAGAGCAGCTGTGGGCATTTGGGGGGTTTCCAGCAGCTTGTCCCATGTGCTGCCCTTGCTGCTCTGCAAAGGGTTAACCCTGGTTGTGCTCCAGATTACTGCTGTTGCAAAATCTGCTGGGGTGGGATGGGGGCAGTTGACCCTTGTTGAACCTCAGGGAAACACGAGGTGCTTTTCCCATCCCAGCCTCCTTGTTGCAAGCCAAGAAATACAAATCTTGCCGTGGCCATAGGCTGCCCTGCATTCCAGAGCTGAAGCAGGGACGTGGGCAGTGTTACCACACCCCCCAAGTGCGTTCGATGTGGAGTTCCTGTGACTGGAGCTGGGACGTCACCCACCAGTGCTTTCACTGCTGGCTGTGGCCAAGGGATGGGAAGGAAAGTTGTCAGCTGTGGGAGCCTCTGGCATCCATCTAAAGAGCAGAAACTGGTGGAAGCACTGCTGGATCCTGTCTGGATCAGGTCCAAACAGTGCTGTGCTACCTCTGTGTCATGCTCAGCACATCCCTGGCTGCCCTGGGCACAGGGAGCCAGTACTTGTGCTGAGGGCAGGACATTGTGGGGTGCAGAAGGTGATGCTGGGCCTGTGGGCTGGTTCTACCATGGCTTGGGCATCACCTTGTCCTTCCTGCATTGGTAATGGCCTTCCCCACACAGCCTCATCGCATCTGGCCTTCAGCTCCCCGTGATGCCGCTGTCATCCGCCACCGGGAACATTTCCTAAATTAACCAAATCATTCCCTTAACAAGGCTTAATCTGCTCCTCTCAAAGCCTCTCCATCACATCTCCATCCCTGGCTGGCAGGGGAGTGGAGGGAGCAGCTGGATCACAGCCGGGTGTTCTGAGAGCACCGGGGTGTTCTGAGAGTACCGGCGGGTGCCCGAGTACAGACACAAACGTCAGGGCTGTGCTGGTACAGGTAATGGAGCCTGCTGCCTCCTACTTCATTAAAAATACAATTAATCTCCTTTAAAAGCGCCCTGAGTGACCTCTAAAAATGGGATGTATTTTGCTGTACCTCTCCTGTTTGTCTTGTGCAGAATGATGTTAACTAGCTGCTTCCTGCTGTTCCATTTTCCCAGCGCGTAATTACAAATCGTTTTTTTTTTCTTTTTTTTTCTCTTCAGCTTCCTGGCTCCCCACGCCAGGATCTTTGGAGCGGGGCTGGAAATAGCCAAGCTTTTCTCCAAAGCTCCTTGCGTGGCTCCTCAGGGGGCTGGTGATATGTTTGCTTATGATTTTGTCTTCCACGGGATCCAGTTTTTAGGGTAATTAAGCAATAGAGGAGCAAGGAGGGGCCGTCCAACCTCCTGCCCTGCCTTCCTTTCACCCCGAGGCTGTCGATGCAGATGATGTCAAGCAGTTGTGCAAAAGTTGGCTTGGCCACTTTGGTCCTCCCTGAGCTTCCAGATGCCACCCTACACCCCATGTGCTGTCACAGATTTCCACTGGCATGGGATTCCTCCACCTCAGGAAGCCCGAGAGCCGAGGAGGTGGGAGAGGTGTGACCAAACCAACCCCATGGATGGATGGGGTTATGGGTGGGTGGCTGAAGGGCACATCCTGTTTTGCCTTTTCCTGTGGCAAAGGACAGTTACAGTTCCAGGCAGGAGTGCAGATTGCCGTTACTCTGCCAGGGCACCATCAGTGAGTGTTTCATCTCTAAACACTCACTGGGGTGGGATTTTGGGGCTGCAGTGAGTATTAACCTTGTTCCTGTGAAATCCCTCCTGTGCTGGGCACCACTCTGCATCCTGCCAGGCCAGCAAAGCATCCCAGGGCTGATGCTCCCATGCTGCTGGAGCTTGTCCAGGAGAGGCCAGAGGGGTCAGAAGTACTTTTCTGTCAAAATCTTGGTAAAATGACCAAACCTGCTGTTTCCTGCTCATGCACACGGAGGGTGGGGGTGTGTTTCCACATCCCTCTGCTCCGAGGTGCAGACCTGCTCCAGAGGGTGTTTCACTGAGAGCTGCCAGAGACAGGAAGGAAAATGAACTGTGCTCAGGATAGACACGTTTGTTGCTCTATATTTAGGAGCATAATTAAGGCTGGTTGTTTATCCTGACAAACACGGTAATTAATAGTCTGTGGCAGACAAGCAAATCCTTCCTGCACCTGGGAACTGTGAGTTGTCTTTGGGAAGGGCAGGGGCCTCATTAAAGACCTTCTGGTGCCCGGGAGAAGAGCTGCTATTTAGGGAACATCTGTCTGTTTGCTTTGTCCCCTCCCCAGGCACACGTGGCCATGTGCTGGTGGCCTCTGAAGTTGTGGTGAGGGAGCTTTTGTGGTCAGCCCACGTGTAAGGGCAGGAGGGTCCTGCTGGACCCACGGAGCAGAAGGCTGAGGGATGGGAAGTGACAGGGGCTGTGTAAAGCAGGCTGTGAGGGTGGTTGGTGGCACTCAGGGGTGCAGTGGTGTAGGTGTCAGGGTGCAGAATTTGGCTCATGAAAGCAGTAGGTCTTGCTGGTTGGGCACTGGGGGTGGCAGTGAGGTGACAGGCAGCTGGGATAAGCTTTTGCCAGCCTTGGAAGGAAGGGCAAGAAGCTTCTGAGGGCAAACGGCTTCTCACTCTTCCCACTAGATGGGGATGGAGGCATTGTCAGAGCGCGTCTCCCGGCGCCCGCAGGGAGCACCCTGCTCGGCCCCTGAGTCTTCTCGGGTGGGCACTGTGCCAGCAAGGGGTCATGGCCTGGCTCTTCTGAGAGGCTCGAGGCTGATGGGGGTCTCATTTCTCTCTCACAGATGCTGCAGGACTGCCCCAAGGCCCGCAGGGAAGTGGAGCTGCACTGGCGGGCGTCGCAGTGCGCGCACATCGTGCGCATCATGGACGTCTACGAGAACCTCTACCAGGGGAGGAAGTGTCTGCTCATCGTCATGGAGTGGTGAGTCCCTGGTCGAGGGGCACCCCCAGCCCTGCAGGGGGGTGGGGTGATGCCAGAAGTGGGGTGAGCACCTTCCAGCACTGCTGCCGGGGTGCTGGGGACCCCGGGGAGGTGCCGTGCCGGGGGATGCGGCCTGTGAGCCGTAGGGATGGCAGCCCTGGCAGAGGAGCTGCAGTGCTGGTGTTGGAGGGGCGGCGGGAGCTGCACTGGCTCTGAGTCATTCTGAAAACCCGCTTGGCTGTCGGGAGGCTGAGGGCCTGTGGTTCTCACAGGTAGATCATAACCAAACTCGCTTTGGCCATTGAAATTTGGGGTAGTCAGCATGTTCCTGGCAGCCTGGCAGCCTGTGGTGGGTCTGTGGAGCAGCAGCCACACCGAGCCGACACGTCTGTTAACGCTGCGGCACCTCCTGCAGCAGCAGTCAGGTGGCTCTGGGTCGGGTAGATGTTTGATACAACCTGGGGAAGAGGAGGAGGAATGAAGGGGAAAGTATTGAAACCACATCCCAACCGCAGCTGTGATTTGATGCAGCTTCCTTGCCAAAACCTCTCCTCTGGCAAGCTGGTAGGTTGCCCGGGGGGGCAGCGGGTGCGAGGAGCAGCGCCGGGGCAGGCGGCACAGGCAGCGGCTCTTGTGGGGGGAGAGGCTTCTGAGAACCACACTGGGCAGCCAGGGGTGGGAAAGGTGTGTGTGGTGTGGAAAGAAGGAGTAGCTGAGTGGTAGGAAACAGGTCCCCAGGGCTGTGTCTGTGAGAGCTCCGTGCTGTCTGAGAGTGCTCTGGGTGTAGCGTCCGTCACAAGGCAGTGTTTGGTTCTGACGTGGGCCCTGAGGGCTGCCCACTATTGGTATTGCAGATGTCTAGTGAATGTCAGGGGCGCTGGCAGGAGATGCTGTCAGTGCTGGGAAAGCAAGAAACTGTTTCTGCTTGACTCAGATAAGGCAGGGACAGGAAGCACCATTATCCCTGCTCACGGAGAATTCTCCCGTATCTCACTCCTGATCTCTCTGGGAGCTGAGTTTTTCCTGAGGGTACCCGGGGAGGGAACCACGCCAAGGATCCCATGGTGCTTCTCCAGCACCTCGCATGAGACCTTGCTGTGCTGCAGCGGGGTCCAGCCTCTGCCTCCCCCACCCCATTGCTGAGCCCATCTCGGTGCTGCTGACGCCTCTCCCGTGCCCTGAGCTCGACTCAGCACTTCTGCCTGGGGTTTGTGTGCCGGTGAGCAAAAGGAGGGCAGGGTGTGCTGGGAGTGCTCTCACCACCTTCAAGCCACATTTGCTGTCTTTACTGTAAATGTGTTTTCTGTGGGCTGGTGGGGCGACCACGTCTGCCTGCACCCGGCGTCCCCACGGCCGGCACGGAGCCTCTGCCCTGCTCATTTCTGGAAGGAGGAGGCTCTGAAACGCCCCACGCCCAGAAGCACCGACCCAAGGGCTCGGATGGAGAAGGGGATTGTTTCTTGCTGAGCTTGTGCAGCTCCTGACTGAGCATCAGAGGTTTTGGCACAGCTTGTGCCGGTGTGAGGTGGACCTGCAGCATCTAACGCCGCCTGCTTCTCTTCCAGCCTGGATGGTGGGGAGCTCTTCAGCCGCATTCAAGACAGGGGAGACCAGGCCTTCACAGAACGGGGTATGGAGCCCACAGGGTGCTGGGGTTTTGTCTTTGGACCATGTTTTGATGTTTATAGGAGTGTGTCTGGTCTAGCCTGTTCCCTCAGTGACTCCTTTGGATCCCCAGCAGAGTTTTGCACTCAGGGAATGAGGAATGTGGGTGCAAGTGCTCCTGCTTTTCATGTTCACTTGAGAGCAGGGTTAGGGGATGTTTGCTCAGCTGCCCCCACACCCCCTCTGTCCCAGTCCAGCACAGGTAGGAGATTCAGTGATCTTTAGAAACTCCAGCCTTCCTCAAAAAATGAAGTCCAGGGGCTGTGGTTCTCATGAATCTCATTCATCTCATCCCTTCTACTCTTACTGCCAGGAAAAGCAACTACACAACCCAAACCCTGAGCCCGTTGCCCCCTTGGCTTCCCATCCTACGGAGAAAGCTTTCCCAGCTGGATTCCCTGCTGGCTGGGGGTACTTAGTGGTGTGAACCCCTCCTTGGATATTGGGGTCAGGGGCTGGAGCTTGCCCCATCCCTTCTCCTGGGAGTTTCTGTCCCATTTGCTGCAGGCTCCTGACCCAGGGATGGGTGCTGGGTGGCCTCCATGGAAAGGGGCTCTTGAGGCAGAGGAAACCCCTTTGGCCTCAGCCAGGCTCTTTGGTTTGTAGAGTTTTCAAGGGAGTAGTCCTCATTTTAACTTGCTTATGAAGGCTTGATGATGGTTTCTTTGCTGCTTCAGAGGCTTCAGAGATCATGAAGAGCATTGGGGAAGCCATCCAGTACCTGCACTCGATCAACATCGCGCACCGGGACGTGAAGGTACAGTGCACCCTCTCCCCCCTTGGCCTGTGCCAATGCCAGGCTGCCCCAGCCCTGCTGCTCACTTCTTCTTCCCTGTGTGTTCACAGCCTGAAAACCTGTTGTACACCTCCAAAAGGCCCAATGCTGTGCTAAAACTCACAGACTTTGGCTTTGCTAAAGAAACCACCACGCACAACTCCTTGGCCACTCCGTGCTACACGCCGTACTACGTGGGTGAGTGCCCGGGGGGTCTGAGCTTCCAGGTTTGCAGGGCTGGAGGGCAGATCCTGGGGGGGTTTGGCCAGTGCCATGTGTGGCCCATCACCTCTGCAGCCAGCCTGGAGCCCCATTTGCAGCCTGGTGCTGGGGGCAACAGTCTCCACTGCTCCAAGCAGCGCTGCCGAGAGTGCCTGGAGCTGCAGGTGGATCCATGGGATGGTCACACCTCTTTCACCTGGTGCTGCCACATGGACTCAGGAATTTTCCTCTCTTTCAGCCCCGGAGGTGCTGGGCCCAGAGAAGTATGACAAGTCCTGTGACATGTGGTCCCTCGGTGTCATCATGTACATTCTGTAAGTCTGATGATCCCTTTCCATCCTCCTGGAGTCAGAAGAGGGGGCAGAACCTTTCTCAGCTGCTCCTGTTCCTGGCACTGCCCCGTGCCCTTCAGGTGCTGCTGGGGAGGTTTTTGGGGTGACACATTATTCCCTCTCCTGGCACAGGCTGTGTGGGTACCCCCCCTTCTACTCCAACCACGGCCTGGCCATCTCTCCTGGCATGAAGAAGCGAATCCGAATGGGCCAGTACGAGTTTCCCAATCCTGAATGGTCCGAGGTGTCAGAGGAAGGTAAATGTGGTCCCCGTGGTGGCTCGTCCCCAGGCTGAGGTCTCACTTTGGGGTCAGCCCTGTGTCCAGCAGCGCTGTGAGGGCTGAGGGGAGCTTGGGCACGTCATGGGTCACCTCTCAGTGATGCAGCAGCTTCACCTCTTTCCTCGAGAGGCTTTTGCTGAAGGGTTTGACCAGGGTGAGCTCTGTGGCACAGAAGGGGTGTGTGTGGATGTACTTTGGGACTGCTGGCTCAGGTGGGAGCTCAGGGAGATTCCCCTGGGACCTTCTGATGCCTGACCCTGCTCAAACCCTTCCAGTGAAGCAGCTGATCCGCAACCTGCTGAAGACAGACCCAACCCAGCGCATGACGATAACGGAGTTCATGAACCACCCCTGGATCATGGTGAGTTCTGGGGGGAGGAGCAGCAGGATGGTGGGGGGGTGCAGATGGGGCAGGGATGGGATGGGATGGGATGGTACAGGATGGCTGCAGCTCACACTCCTCCTCTCCCTGCAGCAATCCATGCAGGTGCCCCAGACCCCGCTGCACACCAGCCGGGTGCTGAAAGAGGAGAAGGATCTGTGGGAGGATGTGAAGGTAAAAACTCTCTCCTTTGCTGTCTGCAGTGCTCTGCCCCCTGGTGTCCTCTGGGGACTGTCATCTTCTGCCTTCTCACTGCAAAAAGGCTTATTCACCAGCCTTGGGATTGCTCAGAAACTGTGTAGATGTGGCACTTGGGGGAAAGGTTTAGTGGTGGACCTGGCAGTATTGGGTTAACCACAGAATCATAGGATAGTTTGGGTTGGAAGGAACCTTAAAGATCATCTCATTCCAACTTCCTGCCATGGGCAGGGTCACCTTCCACCAGCCCAGGTTGCTCCAAGCCCCGTCCAACCTGGCCTTGGACACTCCCAGGGATGGGGCAGCCACAGCTTCTCTGGGCAACCTGTGCCAGGGTCTCCACACTCTCGTGGGGAAGAATATGGTTGGATGATGATCTTAGAGGGCTTTTCCAACCTTAACAATTCTATGATTCCAATTTGGGCTTGGTGTGAGCGCGCTGGCTCCCAGGGAGATCCGTGCTTGGGAGGGAGCTGGAAGGATGATCAGTGGGACACTCAGGCCCTGCTGCAGTTTATTCCCAACTGCTCTGGGGGTCCAGGGGGGGCTTTGCTGACGGCTCTGCCTGTGCCTCCTGCCCGCAGGAGGAGATGACAAGCGCTCTGGCCACCATGAGAGTGGACTACGAACAAATCAAGATCAAGAAAATCGAAGATTCCTCGAACCCTTTGCTGATGAAGAGGAGGAAGAAAGCCAACCCCACCGAGCCCGCCGCGCTCCCCCACTGAGGGTGCCCCGCGCCCGCCGGCCCCCGAGAAAGCAATAACTATATATATTATATATTTTTTAAGGAAAAAAAAAAAAAAAAAAGACGAGACGGACTGTTGTACCGAGCGCATGGAATTCAGACATTTATACCAGACTAGTTATTTTTAGCTACTCACCTGTGTTTCTGACCTTTCTGGAGCAGGTGGTAAGATCCCCATCAGATCCACACCTGCGGCCCCCCCGGGATTTTGTCCTGTAGGTGAACGCCGCCGATAATTGGATTTTTATTTTTGTTCTGTGAGACGATTTTGATTTATATTTCTTTTTTTTTTTTTCCTTTCTTCCTTCCTTCCAAAGACACGGAAAACTCCTGTGGTGACCTTTTTAGGGTATATAACGTATAAATATTTTTAAAAAAAAAAATAACTACTGTAGAGCTGAAAGCCAGGCAGCGTGTTCCCTGTGTGGATGCTGGCTAGAGGTGGGCTCCAGGCTTGGGAGTGGGTTGGGGGGACAGGGAAGGAGAGCTGCCTTCCCCCGTGTCCTGCTCTACGTGGCAGGGCTGGCATGGGGGGGTTCCCTGTGGCCACCGTGCTGCTTCACTGGCCAGGAAACTGCTGCTTTTAAAGCACAGTAGCCAAACCCAGCCCCCCAGCTGTCCCTGAGCTGGAAGCCTGGCCTCTGCCCCGCCGTCCGTGTGGTCTGTCTGTGCGTGGGGTGTGTGTCGTGTCCGTGGGCCCGGAGCTGCTCGTGGCTCCCCTGCTGTGGCCGCCACAGTCTGTGCCTGTGCCTGGAATCCAGTTCTGACCTCAGGGGTGGGCAGGGGGGGTGAGCAGGAGGCCAGTGCCCGCCCCCCCATGTATCCCCCTGCTCTGCAGGGATCTGGGGAAAAGATGTGTCCCTGCTGCCCCTCCCTGATCCCACAGCTCCAGGGAGATGCTGTCCTGGGGGGTCCCTGGGGACAAGTGGGTGGCACAAGGCTGTGTCTTGAGCCAGGACAGCAGCACTGACCCCTCCCTGGCCGGAGCTGGGGGTCCTGCTGCCCCCCCCCCAGCGTGGCTCCTGCTGGGAGCAGGACGGCTGCTCTGAAGTCTTTAGTCCATGAATTATTATTATTATTATTTGTCACGATGTTTCACTTCGTTAAATGTGTTCGAATGGGGGGGGGGGAAATGATTTTTTAAGGCAATGTTTAGTTTTTAGGTGATCTTTTAGACACTGTATGGAACTTCAATTTGTTTTAAGAACTGGTTTTTATCCCTTTTTTTTTTCCTTTTATTTTTTTTTTTAATTATTTTTGTCTGTTGGCTTATACTAATCTTCCCGGTCTGCTCTTCAGTCCTTTGGATTAAAGACACTTAAAGCGTCACCCAGTCTCTCCTCCTTGCTTGTGTGGCTGTGAAGAGACCCCTCAGTGCTCCAGGCTGGGTGGCCTCT